TTCTGAAGAAGGGTCCTGACCCAAAATGCCAACTTTCTTGCTCCTCTGATGCCGCCTGCTCTGCTGTGCTCCTATAGCTCCACATTGTGTTATCTCTAGTTCAGGAACTTTGTCTATTTTTAAATAAGTGGACTTGAGATGAAACCTTCACTTCTTTGATAAAGAACACAGCAGTAGCTTGACCAAACACAGGCTCTGTGGATGCTGAAACAGAATCCTATGTGTTAGCCAGATGGAATAGAGCCTTGATAAGAATCTAAGAAAAGAAACATTGCAGAAATAAGGAAGCAGTGCCTCCAAACGGATTCTTTGATTTTGAATCGACAAAACATTGGATTTTGGAAAAGAAACCATACAAAATAATCAATTCTTTAGGGATTTTCTGATTACACCAAAACAAGATCCATAGGAAAGGAATCCTTACCATGTTCTCAAGGGAAAGAATGTGATCATATTCTTCTCTTGAGTTGTAGCACTAGCAAGTGAAAGACAACATGAAAATATACTAGATTCCTTTCTGAACAACGGTTGTACTATATATCAAATTATTCAGTTAGAAAGAAAATTAAAGTGTTTCATTTGATTTCTTAGGTCTTTGTATTCTGACCAATAGATTTTCCCCCAATCTGTATGCTGTGGATTGTCTCAGTGAGCTTCCAGTCAAAGTTCCCATTTTGAATGAAATACCACTTACTGCCTCAATGAGATGTCACTTGATCATAATATTTGTATTGTTTGTTCAACTATATTTTTATTTTCTAATCAACCTGTTCAGAGCACATTATTGCACATTTCTGGAGCCAGTTGGGAATTCAACATAGACCTCCTGACTCAGTGGCAGAACACTACCACTGCACCACAAGAATTCACCTATTCAGTTGCATCCTGTCAAACTGTTAGCTGTCTTTTAATTGTGTTTATTTTTATTCATTTTCTGGACATACTAGAATTGGGATAACACAGTGTGGAGCTGGAGGAACACGGCAGGCCAGGCAGCATCAGAGGAGCAGGAAAGCTGACGTTTCGGGTCTGGACCCTTCTTCAGAAATGGGGGAGGGGAAGGGGGCTCTGAAATAAATAGAGGGGGTGGTGTGGTGATAGCAGGTAGATAGTGGTGGGGATTGGTCAGTGAGATGGGAAGAGCGGACAGGTGGGAGAGAAGATAGACAGGTCAAGGAGGCGGGGATGAAGCTAGTAAAGGTGAGTGCAGGTAGGTAGTGGTCGGGATTGGTCAGTGAGGTGGGACGAGCGGATAGGTGGGAAAGAAGACGGACAGGTTAATGAGGCAGGGATGGTGGGGGGCTGGTCTTGGGAAGAGGTCGGGAGTGAGGAAGCTAGTAAAGGTGAGTGTAGGTAGGTGGGAGTGGGGATTGGTCAGTGAGGTGGGAGGAGCAGATAGGTGGGAAAGAAGATGGACAGGTTAATGAGGCGGGGATGGTGGGGGGCTGGTCTTGGGATGAGGTCGGGGGTGGGGA